AGGGATGGTGGAGTTAGTTTATTTCGCGGATTGAAATTTTAATGGTCATTATAATGTCTCTTTGGGTTGGAAATACAGATTCTTAAGAACACATTCATTTTGCACAAATGAAAGTGGTAAACTAAAATCAGAGAGTGTTGAAGTTCTTAAACTAAAGATTACCTTATAGTGAGCTCTAGTAAAGAGGGTTAGAAACTATTTTTGAGAAAATTTAATAACGATGTTTCAAAGAAAATTTTGTTACTGGATATTTTCCAGAAATAATAACAAGACATCTGTATTCAAGTAGCTACAAATGATTGTACCAGAGGGTCAATATTTTGAGATGGCAAGCAAGCCATTCTTATCATAAAGATAGGGTACAGGAACTAGAAGAGATGTAACATTCCTTGATGTGATTCTGTCATAAAAGGTTAACAATGCTACATCTTAAGGCCAAGGAGATAATCCTTTTTTTGAAGGCTGCAAAGGTCTATCATCAGAGTATTCCTTTAAAGATAAAAATTATATATATTGTATACATGTTCCACTTTTAAAATCAGGAATAATCTTATATTTAGAGGAGCCAAAAAGAAGAGTTAAAAACTATAAATGGGTATTTTACTTATGTGGCAGAAGAAAAGTTCAGCGGTTTCAGGATCCACAAGTGAGAAGAAAATGTAACTAACTTGTAGACCAAATGGCAATCTGTTCCATGATTTTTAAATTCGTAATATGTTTCCTACAAATGTTGTCACCTGAAAATTCACAGTTAGACATCCATTTCTTTGTACTTATATGATAAATATTCCAAGAGGAATGTATACCAGTCTCAGTCTTTCTTTTTCTGTAGCCAAGCTGCTTACCCAAATTAGTTATACTAACAGTTTTCAGGCTGCTTACAACTGAAACCAACTTACGAGGTATTTTAAGCCACACTTGTTTTGTTGATGAGGTCTAGAGAAGTGAAATACGTAGTTTTTCCAGAGGCATTTAGTCTGTTAATAATAAAGTTAAGGCCGGACGTGGTGGCTCACGCCTGTAATCCAAGCACTTTGGAGGCCAAGGCGGACGGATCACCTGAAGTCGGGAGTTCAAGACCAGCCTGACCAACATGGTGAAACCCCATCTTTATTATAATAATAATAATAATAATAATAATAATAATAATAAAGTTAAGACTATGGAAAATTTCAGGATCTTGTTCCTTGGTGCTTTGGAGGTCCTGAGGAATTTGGAGAGAGGCTTCTCCTAGAAGGTAAATGTTGTTAAGGGCCGACCAGGTGAGGCTCCAGGCCTACTGTCTCACTTCACCTAAGGCAGATGGGCTGTGTTACAGAGACTTATAGACCAGGTTTTTTTTCTGAAGAGTATTTGAAACATCTCTTCTGTCAAATAAATTTTTAAATGCTAAATGAAATTTTTAAATGAGTGGCCCATGCTAATATATTGGGCATATGGAAGAGAAGATGTTGTGGACATTGGCAAACAGCCTACACGTTGCTGAAGGTCAGGACTATATCCCACTCGTCTTGGAATTTTCCTCAGCATCTAACTTGGTGCCTTTTAAAAGGGGCTTTAAAGGCAATAGGGTCTGGAGGTTCTTGCAGTTATAGCTCCAGGGGTTCCCTTCTGATCTTGCACAGTTTTCTAATTATTCCCTTGTTTTCTTCCACTGACCCATGGGATGGGATTAACTTGTGTCTCCCATGCTTTTTCCTTACCCACATTACTTCCAAGTTGGGAGCACAATCTTGCAACCTGGCCCTGCCCTGTTGTCTCTGCACAAGCCTGAAAACTCAGGTAAATGAATGGAATGAAAAATAAATAAATATTAGGCTGACAATAACTACAGGGAAGAAGATAAGAGGTAAGAAAAATAACAATGATCAAATTACAAGGCAATAGAGTACCTAAATATCAAAGGAAGGTACAGTAAATGAGTTCATTCTAGCATTCCACTAGCCCTCTTAGGAATTTTCATGATTGCCTTTTCTCTTTTCTATTAACTGTTAATATTTTGTTTCTGAAATGTATCTCATCCTTTTTTCCCTATAGAATCTCCTAAATTGCTTTATTTTCTCCCCAGTCTTCGTTCTCTCCTCCTTCACTTTCCCTCCTTCAATTCTAATTACCAATTAGATCACTTAGGTTCACAATAATCCCCACCACTACGTATTATTCCCATCTCAAAGCAAACTTCAGATTGTAATCTTCAAATTCAAAGTCCTTACACAGATTTGTCCTGGCAAATTTGACTTCAGGCAATTATTGATTGACTTGACTTCTTGCTAAATTTTGCCTAAAGGCAGGCCTTTCTAGAATCACAGAAAGGGTGGAAATTATACAAAAGTGGTGGTTCTCAAACTAGGTGGGCATTCATGATGATTATAAAGAATGAAATGTAAGTAATGGATTATTCGGGAGTTAGGTGGAATTTAAAAGATTACTGGAAAATACATTCTAAAATTTATATTTATGAAAAATAACTTTAAAAAATTTTTAAATAGCATTTATTGATAGAGATTCTATAAAGGCACAAAGTTACTTTGCATTTCCTTTCTTTTCCTTTACCATTTCTGTCTTTCCTTTATTCCTTCCTCCCTCCCACCCTTTGTTTTTCCTTTCCTTCCTTCCTCCTTCCCTTCCTCCCTTTTCATCTTGGAATGAGAATACGCAAATCCTCAGTTAACTCTACACTTTTATTCAAATGTAAACTTTAGTTCCTTTGACTAGCTTTTACAGTTAGAATTTAATTTTGAAGAAAACAAAAATTAAATGTCACTATCAATAAATCAACCTAAAGATCAAATAGATGTGTAGCATGGGCAGAGATATCAATTTAACAAAGGGATTAAGAGGTAATGGAGTCAGCCTGACCCAGTCTGGACTTCAGCTGCACCACTTATTGTGCATGTCCTTGAGCAAGTTAATTAAAGTATACCACACATCCTTCTCTTAAAATGAGGATAACACCATCTGTAAGCATAATAGTGAAGATTAAATAATTATACGTACACTAAAAACTTGAACTGTGTGTGAGACACAGTAAGTACTCAATAAATATTATAATACAGTGTTGCAAAACATATACTGTTCATATCACTGCAAAGTGATAAAGCAAAGGACATCCCAATATCCTACCTAATTTAGAAAATTAGTGTTCAGGCAATACTTTAATTCATGTACTTCTAGTGTCACTTATAATTATCTCATTCGAATGTCATTTTGCAACACTTATTTGATATCCCAGCTGACTTGATTCTGGACCTAGAAATTGGAATCAATAATTGGTGGACTTTGAACTTGTAAAATCTTGTAATAGAGTCTACAGTTTTAATTGCACAGGTTTGATGTTGGTTCACTGCTTGTCACGATGTGCAACTGAAGCTGGCTATCAAAGCAGAATAAGGCAAAGATACTTTAACTCCTTCACAATCACATGTTTTCAGTTTAATCCAATTACAACCACTAGTCACATGCTTTAAAGATCACAGATCCAAATAAAGAAACCATCAGGGGTTTCTCTATGGCTTCTAAAGGAGAAACATCTTTTATGACTTTAGTCTAATTTTCTATTGTTAAAGGAAAAGAATTCCCTGTCCTTAACTAAGGCAGCCAGTTGTGTAGAAAGCCAAACGTGCTGTGGGTCAGGAGATGTGAGTTCTGACCTCTGACCAACCATCACCTGTATGAGTACTGAGACCAGTCACTGGCCGTCTCTGGTTTCATTTTCCTTGTTTCTAAAATTGATCCTTGCATTAGTGATCAGAGAGGTCCTTTCCAGCCATAATAGCCTATTATTTCATACAAAGTGACTTTTCCAGAATAACTAACAGGCTGTAAATGGTATGTTCAGAGACCACAAAATGAGACAGAGTAAATAAAGCGTACACGTATGTCTCTAGAAAGCAAAAAATAAATAAATTAAAAATATTCAATGAGAAAAACAGATGAGTGGTGTTTTGAATATTAATGTCTATGGTATTTGAGTTATTAAAATTAGCGTCATAGTTAATGGGCTCATATAACAGGATTTTGCACATCTTAGGCAAGCATTTGTTAAAAGCTGACAAAGTCTGTAGAGTTTATATCTAAACACCACGAAGTTTACAACATTAGGGTTTAACAAAGCTTATCCTGCTGGGGCTTGCCATCAAGTAGATGAGTAAAAAGTACAGATTTAATATATATTGCTCGAAATGTTACATATAAATCACATCAAGCCAAAATATCAGCCTAGTTAAGTTGATTGACCCAGAGTTATAACTTGAACAGTTTATATGTTTAACACAGGTCTCTGGATTTCCCTTTTAGAGACCCTACTCCCTTTAATAGGGTTTAATGAAACAAAAAATCCAGAAACTGCTTGTTGTTTTATAAATGTCTTTTGTTCTTTTAAAGATATGTTTTAAAATAATGTGCTGTTTTTATTACAGACTATATATCCTGAAAAGTAAGTTTGAAAATGCAGCACATAGATTTTTTTTTCTTAGAGACAGGGTCTCTCTATGTTGCCCAGGCTGGAGTGCAGTGTCTATTCACAGGCACGATCCCACTACTGACCAGCATGGGAGTTGTGACCTGTTCCGTTTCCGACCTGGGCCGGTTCACCCCTCCTTAGGCAACCTGGTGGTCCCCCGCTCCCGGGAGGTCACTATATTGATGCCGAACGCAGTGCGGACACCCGATCGGCATAGTGCACTGCAGCCCAGAATTCCTGGACTCAAGCGATCCTCCCACCTCAGCCTCCCTAGTAGCTGGGACTTCAAGCATGCGCCACCACGCCCGGTGATTTTTTTTTTTTCTTAAATAAAATAAAGGGTGAAGTTAATAGAATGACCATTTTCGCCGGGCGCGGTGGCTCAAGCCTGTAATCCCAGCACTTTGGGAGGCCGAGGCGGGTGGATCACAAGGTCAAGAGATCGAGACCATCCTGGTCAACACGGTGAAACCCCGTCTCTACTAAAAATACAAAAAATTAGCTGGGCATGGTGGCGCACACCTGTAATCCCAGCTACTCAGGAGGCTGAGGCAGGAGAATTGCCTGAACCCAGGAGGCGGAGGTTGCGGTGAGCCGAGATCGCGCCATTGCACTCCAGCCTGGGTAACAAGAGTGAAACTCCGCCCCAAAAAAAAAAAAAAAAAAAAAAAAGAATGACCATTTTCAAGTGGAAAAGTATATGTGTTGAATGCTTTTTGTTAGCACTCAACAACTTAGCTTTTGGAGCACTCTCCATATAGTCTCTCACATAGTAATCTCTGTAATGATCCATGGTGTCATCACCATCCCACATGACAGTAATGGAAATGGGGCTCCTGAAGGTCCAGTGATTTTCCTGAATTTACCAAGTAAATACTTTGGGAAAGTGAAATTAAACCCAAGGCTGGCAGGCTTGAAAATGAGTACTTTTCCTAATCTTTCGTACTTCTTCTGGTCCTCAGTGCTTTTCTGGAATTTTGCATACAGAGAGAAGGGGGCAAGTTCTTTTCACCTTTGATGTACAGCAGTTATGAGAAAATAAATCTCGAGAAATTTACCGAACAGCTCAGTTACTAAAAATGTATGTCCATCTTCCTGTATGATTTTTTAAGAAGTGAGATTTCCCAGTGAATGGATTTTAAATGCAATTTTACATTCACCTACAATGAATGTGTAGGTCTTATGTAAAGATATACGAAATCGACTGAAGTAAGCAAGAAAAATCTTATACCAGAACTGCAAAGGGTGTCTCTGAAGAGTACGTGTGCATGCCACAAAAGATGTACTATATCTAATATTATCAAGCCCTAATTGAAAACTGCTGATTTCACTTACATAATTCCAATGTCTGCCAAATTATGTGGTGTTTCTAGTGAACATAAACACATTTACAGTTAAGGAAATTTTAAAATATGTATCCGAAGGCAAGTTTAATAGGTTTAAAAACCCAAAATCTGGCTGGGTGCAGTGGCTCACACTTATAATCTCAGTACTTTGAAAGGCTGAGGTGGGTGGATCACCTGAGGTTGGGAGTTCTAAACCAGCCTGGCCAACATGGTGAGACCCCGTATTTTTGTATTTCTGTAAAAAAATTAAAAAAATTAGCTGGGCATGGTGGCATACACCTGTAGTACCAGCTATTCGGGAGGCTAAGGCAGGAGAATTGCTTAAACCTGGGAGGCGGAGGTTGCAGTGAGCCGAGTTCATGCCACTGCACTCCAGCCTGGGAGACAGAGTGAGACTCCATCTCCAATCAATCAATCAAAAAACCCAAAATCTTGTTCTTATTATTTTTAAGCTAAAAATATGTATATATACACATAACTGTAGGAAGCTTTCCTTTTCCTTTCTAATAGACACCTTTGGAAATATTAACTTGGTGAGATTCAACACTTTCCTATTATGTTTTTAAGAGTGCTAGCTAATATGTATTTTGCTCGTATAATTTTTTACATAATACACAAGAAGTTGGTAACAATCGATCCTTTCTAGGATACATTTTGGATTTTGAAGCATAAGAATTGATTATCTTTTAAAGTATTTTCACTTAAAAATAAGTTCTAGGCCTAAGTGGTATTTACTACAGGGAAGGTATGATGGAAACACATCATTCTCAAAGTCACTGAAGAAAGCCAGTGGAAAGTTAGCAAATGAGTTAGTTGTTTCATCAAGAAATGGAAACGATCTGATTTGTTTTCTTCCAAATCAAATAATGTAGTACAGTGCAAATTCTAGAAAGATGCTTTTATTTTCAAATTTGGGGTGTGTGTATCTGTGTGTGCATGTATACATTGTAAAAATTGATTCTGTTCTCAATAGCAGAAAAAAATCTTTCCACTATCTTAAAACCACATTTGATTCAAACACACTAATGATATGTAACCATTTGTTCAAAGGAAAAGCTGACTGACATTAGGCTGTGGAATCCTGTAATGCTTTTGCTCAGCTTGGGCCTGGGTGTCAGGATAGGAATAGGAGATGCCAGGCCTGTTTGGTGGTAGTGGTAATAGTCATTGCCTAACCTTGGCAATCATGAGCTCATGGGATTTGGTGCTTTAAGCAAAGGTGTTAATTATGCCCCCCCTCCCTTTTAGTACCATTTTCTCTTAAACTAACACATATCTTTGGGCTTAATTAAGCAGAAAAGCAAACAAGGAAGAACAAGGTGGTTAAGGACTGGTGTCTCAAAGTGAATACTCTGTATCTGAGTCCAAAATTAATTCCAAACTCAGATTAGTTAAATGTTTCTTCTTAGTCATTTAGGAGTCAGTAAGACTCTCTAAGCCTTCCTTCCTGCTGTATTAAGCCCTTTCACTAAAGGACGAAGTTCTTTCAGGTGCTATCCTATTTGGAATTTAATTTGCCCTAACGTTTCTCCAAGAGCCATTACAGCACACCACATCGCTGTATCCCATTTAACTCCCAAACCGCAGAGAAGCTGGCTGCAGCATCAAACAACACTATTAAAAATACCACAAGGGAACCTTAGAGTGGGAATTTCAGGCACAAGTTACAGCCTAGGGACAAACAGCGGTTGTAAAGAGCATGAATGATACTGGGATGGAGATTTAGGAGAATTTTCAGGATCTGAAAAAACAGCCCTTAAGATTTTAGTGTTGGTTCCTAGAGCTGGCTCTCTGTGGTTGTATGGGTTAAAAGATTAGAGTAACTTTGTCTTTCTCTCTCTCTCTTTTTTTAAATTTTTTTTTTTTTTTTTTTTTTGGTCAACAGATTTGGTACCAAAGGTGACTACAAGTGAGAATGGCTTATGTTTTCCAAGAAGTGGCTCCTTTCACTGGGCCTTGCAAAGGAACAACAAACCCATTAGATTTTTTTATTATTATTATTATTTTAACTTGGGTATCTTAATTGTGACATCTAAGCAGTTATTTGGAAGTCTTCAGGTGTAATTCTGATTCTGGGTGTTTAAAATGCAAGTGCAGAAATTAGCTCAGCCATGGCTACACAAGCGGCCCTGGGCATTTCAAATTGGAATGAATGTTTTGGAAATGGAGCAGACTTAATGAATTAGTCATTATTTAGAGTCCTGCCATGTGGGCGGTCCAAATTCAGAGTCTTAGAGCTGGCAGGAATATGTTATAGCGTAGTAGTGGTGGCGGAGTAGGAGGAGGAAGATGAGAAGGATGGTTTTTCTGGGTGGAAGAACAGGAGGAAGAGAAGACAGTAGTGCCTTTCAAGCTCTGCAGTAGAATCATTGCAAACTGAGCACAACAATGGAAGAAATGGCCTTTGGCATCCACTTGCTCATTTTCTTTGATTGGCCAACATACCTCTGAAATCTTCTCAAAAGATCCATTCTGACAGACTTAAGTATTTATTTTCCCATAAATTTCCAGGGGCATGTGTAGACTGGACTTCTGGGCTTCCACTCCCATAGAATTTTTCCTTTATATAAAATGCTTCCATTTGGAATTTTACATTCAGTACTGATTATTTCATTAATACAGTGACTATGTCCCCTCTCCTGGGCCTTGGATTGTAGGGACTAAGAACGGGGATAATGCTCCCTTTTGATCATCAATGTAGCCCAAGAGCTTTGATTAGGGCCTCGCACAAGAGAGACTCTCAAAAAAGTATTTGTTAAAAAAAAATGTCTGAATTGTTAAATGGACCAGGTCTGAATATATAATCCAAAGGCAGGCAATTCATGGGTTTACTAGTAGCTAATAATCTGTAATATATGACCACGGTGGAGTTATCTCATTGTATTTGTAAATTTGTAGGCTCAAATTGCAATTAAAAGTGAGAAACTGCAACTAAGGTGATTGATGTCAGGGGGAAAAAACTTTTAAAAACCTACAGATGGCCTAAAACTGGGGCTAGAGAAGCTATGGCAAGCCATGTACAAACTCAGGCAATGAGAAAGCAGACATCATGAAGAGCAGAGAACTATCTCTAGAAAAGAAACAAAAAACAAACCAGGCCAGACATATAAATAAAGGGCAGAGTCTTGAGAAAGACACCATATTTACTACAAGCAAAAGATGTGGTTTCAAGTGTCTAGAACTGTGATGGTTCCCAAAACTTCTAAATCCCAGTCCACCTGTGTCCATGTAAGAATGACATTTATTTTTGGTAACTGAGCTGATCCAGTGAGGATACTGCCATATGGTGATAAAGAATGTTGGTGAATTACTATGTAAAGAAAAGATGCTTACTCTGTGCCAGTAGCTTGGGAATCTGGAATCCTTTCCTGGAAGCCTCAGGCTGTTTCCAGGAAAAGTCACCGAATAGCTTTGATTCAAGGAAGTGAAACTCTTCTGTCCTGTACTGGCTGGTTGAGAATATGGTCACCTGAGTAATATGAGTTTGTTCAAAATACTACATTACATCTCAATGTTTCCTGCAATTGACTGGCATGTAGGAATTGTACTTGGCTTGGCTCTCACAGTTCTTCAGTTGGTTTCTATCTGCTGCCTGGAGCTTACTTCCTAGCAGGGACCACAGAAAGAGGCATTATCTTCTTTGTCACTAAAGACTACATGAAGTTCAACAATGGCCTAATTTGTGAGCTCTCTGGCAGGAATGTAATTCCTCTTTATAATCACTGATGATACTCCCTGTGCATGGCAGCAGAGTGACATAGGCTCTCCTAGTGGGACACACCCTCACTTTGCCTTGTGTTTAAAGCCGGGCACCACTTCTAGCTTAGGGAGATGTAGGAAAGCAGAGGTGAGGAATGACAGATGGAACAGAGTTGGACTGGGTGATGCTGCAGTGAGGAATGAGGGGCATCACGAAGGGAGAATGATACGATGTTAGGGAGCTGGGAACGAATAGGGTAAAGAGGGTGAGAAAAGAGGAGATTTAGACAAGGAATGGAAAACAGGACAAATAAGGGAAGGAGGGCCAGGAAAGACTGGCAAAGAAAAGGCAGATAGAAGGAAAGGAAAAAGGCAAGAGAACAGAGTAGAGAACATGAGAAAAGGAGAGGATTGAAGAAAACAAATGAACTGAGATGAAAGTTGAGAGAGGCAGTAGAGTGTTGTTTACAGGGTATGGAATCTGAAGTAAACTGTCAAGTTTTGAATCCTGGCTCCACAACTTTCCGGA